TACACACACACAACACACCACAGTACAGCACTATCATATCTTACTAAATTTCCTAATTCACTTCATTTGTGTATGTTGTTTAATGTTGTTCGTACTCGACCGTTGGGGGTATACGAAAGGAATTCTTCAGGCAGTGTTTGTCTTCTGACATGCGCGTTCAAATTCGTTACACGACCTAAACGTCCCGGTTTCTCGCAATTCGTTTCGACAAAAATACTTGTAAGTATTCTGGGAATTGGCTGTGCCAAACGGCACTCAGTCAATTCTTCTCGGAGAAGAAAACAGAGAGTAAGCGAAAAGCAGTAAAAAAAGAAAACAAACATTCGGCAACACGGTTCGGCACCAGAGCTTAGGAAAATACTCCGTCCATCCGAATCTCATCTCCTGATTGTTTTCANTTGTTTTCACATGAAGAGTGTAACGCAGTGAAGAGAGAAATGCACGGCAAATAAACTGCATAATTTATTTAAATAGACTCGCTTATGTATCAGAATCCCTTCAATATACTGATCACTTTAAAAGACAATAAAATTCTGCTACCGTAGCCTACCTTGGCAGGCCAAGCAGTGACTTGCCATTCGATATTGATTACCCAAGTTCGATCGATCGGCAGATCCCCAGTTTCAAATCTACAGGGAATAGACTTAGTGCAGCCAGTCGACCTCTGAGTATCGAGGTCCATCAAGGACAACTCTGAACGTTTTCTTGACCTCCTTCGAAAAGGGAATAATAATCCTCAAAACAGCTCGATATGCCTCGTCTGGGTCCTTTGAGATGTGCATGTTGCAGATGTACGGCCAAAGCTTGTCATGGTGAAATGTCCAATTGTACAACCTATCGGGTTGACTATCGCGGGCGGGAGACACGACGCCCAGCCCCATATTTTCCCAAAGACAATCTAGTTGTCGGTGCACCAATGGATTGCGGTAATAAGTGCATGTGTCAATGCACATGTAAAGAAGAGCTGGAGGAAAAAATCAATACACCTTACAACCCAAACTTGCATGCCATTCAACCAACTGAGGAGAAACCAAAATCGTATTGCCCGGCACCTTAATTGCACTGAAAAGAAGTGAATATGTTGGCGTGATTATCAGCTGCAATTCCTTCTTAGTCGTGGTAACCGTAACTGTAATACGACACACCTCGTGAGAACAAAAAAATATGAGTGAAGAGAACTTTTCATCCAACTATTTCACCAGTCCATCAGCTAACCAGTCAATTAATTGAACACTGAAAATAAACAACAACCGTTTGCTTACGGGCTCGATCGATCGATAAAGATAGCCCCCGCAAATAAAAAAAATAACAACGGTGAACACAAGTCTGTCCTGCCCTTATCAGCCATTTTTCTGTCGCCCTCTCACTCTGACTGCCTGCTGTCAGTTAGTTCACCAGTTTCAGAGTCGTTCTGAACAAAACTTATCTGCAAAAATTGACTTCTTTTATATTTACCATTTTACCACCTAATCCATTAGTCTGTTTTGGGGTATGGGGCTGGCAAATGTGAGAAGGGAAACGTAACTGGTATAGTATTTCGCAAGGGAATTTCGTATTTCTTAATGATCGAAAGACAGAAAGTGCTGATGCATGTCTTAATATTTGCTATGTTAGCTTTCATCTAAGTTTGCATGTGTTTAAATCCAGAAGTTGGGTGGTTGTCTGTAAGCAAACCCTTTTTGGAAGTAACGATAGACTGTTAAAAGGTTTGGACTTCCAACATTTGTTATGAAATCAACAAATGATAGGTTACGAACTTTTGATCTCCAAAATGTCAAAATTGTGTATGTGGTTCTGCGATTTCAAGCAGACTGAAATTATCGTCTGTTCGCGTGTATGGAGCATGTGCAGAGCACATTCAATGAAATTAATTCCTTACGCAATTTACGCCTTCACAGTGTGAAGGCATAAAACAGGATTCAGTTTCGACTGTTCCCGCTTCGATGGTCACACGTGTGGTTCTAGATCTAGGGTAATGTAGAGGAGATGTTTTGTTGGGGTTCAAAACTCGCTTATGAGGTCCCCAAATGTAGTCAGTTCTGCTTTACGACTTAGTGAGGTTGAGTTGGCGCTAATGACTCGCCGGTTAGATATTTTCTGCGGTAAATATCTGCTTCGTTGGGCAGGAGTGAGGTCAAGAATGAGGTTTTGTTTTCAAGGGTCTGTACTTTTGTCACGGCCACATACAACGATGCACTTAAAACCACAGCTGGCAAGGTTGATTCGCGGGCACCTGATCCATATTGGTCACAATTAATTGCCTTGGTGGGTTGTAGACGAGCAGATTGCATGAGTCATGGTTGGAATGAATTTGTGCACCCGTTGGTTAAGGCACTGTTGTGTTGCGGCAGCATTTGGTTCCACCTGCCCGAAACTGTCAGTCGAACAATCACTTGTAGAACGTTTTCGATCAGCCGCTTGGTTGGTTGAGTGCATTTCGGGTGTTAGATTTCAACCGGCACTGTACGCTACTTCACACACCCAGTGAAGCGCGGTTAGTGTGTTGAACACAATCGCATGCATGACTTGTGTGCTGGATGCCCATTCAGAGTAGAAGAATGCTGTCCGATAAGCATTTTGGCATTCCCACCAAAGAATGCATTCCGTGAGAATTCACTAAATTTACTTGATTCCGACGGGGCCCCGAAATGGTTATACGCGTAGGGGACGAATTTCCAAAATGAGCATATTGTGTGCTTGTTTTCCGGAAAAGCCTTTAATCGCCAAGAGAACAGAAAAAGCAATCGACTATCATTATTTTACGTACAACCTTCATATGGTGAATCTGTTTGCCCACCAAAGTGAGGGGACGAAAAGCTAACATCACGGGCCTATAACCGGGCTGATGACCCATCCACCGAATTCAGTTCGCTAAAGACTCTCGCCCAGAACCAACCATGATGATGGGTATGAATCACGCCTAAACCCTTCTGGTTGTGGCAGTGATCACAAGCTTCACTGAGTGTTGAGGTGTAATTTTGCACCTTCATAGTGTGACACGTCGAAAGAGCATGTGATCCCACGAACTGGATATCGGCCCTCAGTGGACTGCGGTTTTCACCCAAGGCCCTGCTGCCTTGTGGGTCAGGCTTTGGCTAGCCAAAGGTACTGGTTGGGCATTCCCAAAGAAAATTCACCTGGTTTTGTTTGGGTAACCGGGCCGTATTATGCCCACTAACAAATAATGGTCCTGAGAATAATGTGGAATGATTGTAACTCGGGCTGCAGATGTTGTTGTTGATGTTTTCGCCGAGCTGGAAGTGTTATTCGCAGACGTTTTGTAGCCAGGCTAGGCAACATTATCAGTGCACTGATGATGCACTGTGCCAAGTTTTCTGTTTGCCATGTGGACAGCAGACGACTGAATTTCAGTTTCAGTTTCAGCTTTTGCAAACATTAACGAAGCACTTTCGTGCGCCGAATTTGGTTGCTGTCTCTTGGCCGCAGATTTGGATGAAAGAACAGATTGGGGATTAGAGTATTGAGAGGGAATCCAAGCCGAAGATGATTCCATAAAGACACCCAGCCATATCGCTCAGTGTCGCTAACTCTCGGTGACCATGTTCTCGGGGTCCCCAACCAGGGAGCCCAACGGGATCTATGTGACCAGGTCTTAGTTTAACCGCCCTTGACCTTTTTTCTATCCATTCTCTGTTTCGGCAAACATCGCTCACCGTGGCAACCAATCGGGTGACATGCGCTGCACATGTCTCAACCACCGTAGTTTATGGAGGTCGACTACTTGCTCCAGTGGGCGACCGCGATTATCTAAAACTCAACACCTTACCTCAGCATTGCTCGTCTGGTTTCCCCAGCAGACTCGTGCAATGCGACGTAGACAGCCATGTTCGAAAACTGACAATCTATTTTTATCGTGTTCCTGTAATGTTCAAGTCTCTGCACCGTGAGGCAGAACTGGCCAAACTGTTGCAGCATATACTCAACCTCTCATGGACAGCCGAATGTCACGACGGTGCCACAGATGTCTCATGTAATAAAGTGAAGGTAGCTCTCGGATAGAAGAATATAGAAATGGTGGCTCTACTAATAGGATGTCTGTGTTCTATAGTTTATCAAAGAGAAACGAATTTTAGGAACCAAGAAAAAAATTATTTATCGTCCTACCGCCTCAGTTAGTGGAGATGTAGAATTTTTCAACACTGGTCCCCTACTTGATGATGTTTAAAACTGGGTGACTTTTAAACTAGTTTGTTCAATCAGAGCTAGTCTGAGTACACGATCGCTGGAAGATAACGGTGCACACCGTTGAGGTTATATAACTTAACATTTGTCACCTCTGCTGCGACTAATTGTCGGGTTCTGACGTCATAGGCTCTCCAGGCCGCGATTAGTTAGATTGGACGGAGCAACCTCTGCACATCAACACGGATTCATTTTGGTCAGTACTCTAGTACTCTAGTACTCTAGCCATCGCATCTCGTACATGCTCTTATCGATCCTTGTCGGAGTCAAGATGGGCTGAAATAACACAATCTATGTTGTTGATCTCAATGATAAGGAAACTTGATTTATTTATCATTTGATTTACAGATTGACAGTAATTTCCATTATGGGCCCAGCCGCGGACTCGGATTGAAGGCAGTTTCCGCGTAGAAAGTACACCACTGCCACCGCGGTGGTCATTACCTCATACAGGTCCAACACCGATGGTGGCGTTTCTATGCCTAAATACGATCCAGCTGCGATCAGGCAGTTCTCTTAACCCTAGCCCAGGCGTGGTGTCCCACCTTCCTACTGTCGGTTCCAATGTTTCTGACCGGATATGTTCAGTGTAGTTGCAGCTTCTCCCCCGATTGGGTTACCCAGCTAGACGTCCTGTAGCATTTCCACTATCCCGTGGCATCTTCGAGCAAGACACACCCTAAGGGTATATGCCACAGGTCCATCTCATTCTGTATCCTATAACAGAGCCAGCTTCTGGACTGATCTGCTCCAGCCAGGGTTTCTCACTCATCGAGGCTTAGAACCGCTCCATTCAGCACAGCGGCAAGAAACAGGGAACCGGACCCTCTTTGTTCTGCTGTTCAGTCTGCACTTGTTCTCACCGGGCTAAAGCAAAGCTAAGAAATCCAATGAGCGGGGACCTGGTACGACTTATTGAATATATACTGGGCTTAGAGACCCATCTCACCACGAGTCATCGGGGTCTCGTCATAGTGTCACCACCACCAGTAGCAGGGAGCCACATTTGACTCAATAAATGGTCGCTACTTTTGACGAGCCCACAGGACCGGCCCGCAATGTTCCACGAGGACGTGGTATGCGACCAGAACTCTGGGTCCGCGTTGGTGAAGCAGAAGTCGAGGCCCCCTTCCAGCAAGGTAGAGTTCTACCAATATGTCCCTCACGCATGAGCGACAGCCGGACACGCCCCGCAAAGCCCGAAAGCGACGATAAAGCAGCATCCTTAAACGACTCACATGCAAGATTCACAGCAATTCTCCGTCATTATTCCGCACCTGATTGAATTTCTTCATTTTGACATTCAGAGCAATCGGCAGAAATCACATATGGCAGTCGGTATTTTGTAGTTTTACTCGTTACCTTGGTCACATTTTAAACTGTACTTCTATTATCTACAAATGATTTGTTTGCACTATAAAGTATGATCCAAGAGCATTTTGCTTGATTTAATTTTCTTTTTAATTTGTTCATCAATTTGATCTTTTTTTGGGGTCGGGGGTTCAATTGTTACTTTCAATCATAGGATCGTTGGACAATAAAACAAGAGCATAATCGACTGGCCAAATTGCAAACCGCGTTGGAGGAAGAACGTCGTTCCGTAGTGGATCAAGCTGGACGGGAACGGGAAGAAATTCAACATCTCGTGGTAAATGAAAAATGCTAGTCCCTAAGACTAGTTCCTAAATAAGGGTTATCTCTGGATACCTTAGCTATTTTTTATTGATTTTACGATCACCCAGTTGCTGCAATCCAACGCCCGTTTGACGTTTGATGCATACCATTCATTGTTGTCATATTTCTAGACATATAATAGCAGCCCTGTATCCAATATAGTTACGATGCGGATCTACTGATCAGTATATTTTTATAAATTCTGTGTAGTCCAAATGGTGAATTACTTTGACCTTGACTAGCCAACTCTACAGCACTGGTAAACAAATATAATCCTTTGTCATCTTTAATCTATACGAATTGACATTTGAACCTATAGACATTTCGATTCTCTCTGGATTTGGCACTCTGTAGTTTGGGAGGAACATCACTACAAATTCGCTTATATCCATTCTTTTAGCTCCAATTACATGNTAGCAAGAAATTTACTCACATCATTCGATTCTCTATATATATATACCTAGTTAAGATCATGAACACCACGCACTTTGGATAGTATATTCGGGATTGATAGTAAGAGTTTGAAACGCTACTTGTTGACTGCAATATTTACAAGCCAGATTTAAAAGATCGATCCCAATCGACTCTTTGATTCACACACAGCTAACGTGGGGCCTGAACTTCGAATTTCTTTCCAGAAAGATTGATCGTACACAAACAATGGTTCCTTCAAACACGCTTAGTCCCTACAAGGTTCCATGTGGGAGTTGAGAAGCGGCTTGCGGTTGACACGATCAAAAAACACCAAACCCACTTTATAGTGTTCCGTCAGTCAGCCACTGCATCTTTGTTTTTGGCAATGAACTGGACACCGATCAACAATGGATTGTGGTTTTCAAATAACACCCAGGTGGCTTACGAGACAAGCTTAGGCTAGCCTAAGGCTCTAGTTGTGAATTCCCCAAGAAAATTCACAATTTATGGTCTGGAGGACGCCTGGTATCCTGCCCACTGGCAAATCGCGGCCTTTTTTCTTTTTTGTGAAAGATTATTGTACAGTGATTTGTTTGTCATACAGTCTGGACTCAGAAGCGTATGAAGTATAATATACGTAATTATGGTTTACACACTTCGAGAATTCTTAGTTGCTAATATTTACCAGTGTGTTATGATGTGTAATATGCGTATACCACATTCTTAGGACTTTCCGTTTTTCTTTGTTATTGAATTTGTCTCACAAAGACAAATTTTCTTGCGGAGCATCGTAAACTTCAAGCCAAAAATTCAGAAGAACGACACTTGCTGTCCGCAGAACACCAAAAGCTTCGAGCGGAGCAAATGGCATGGGAAGAAACACGACGAGCCGATGAAGAACGATTACGTCAGGTTGGTTCCCTATTGTATGATTTTCTCTAAAAAAATATCACAGACAATATTTATCGCTTGTGTGACGTTTAACTGTACCATTTAAACTTTAAGTGAATCCATCGTAGCTTCATGTAACTCCGGATGAAGTTTACATGCACACGTCAACTGTTGCAGTGAATCAATCAAAGGCCAGGCTATTTGGAATGAAGAGATTTCTAAGAGCGAGACAGAAAGTATTGAATCGTTTACTTCGATCTCATCGTTGAGTTCTTTGTAAACAAGTCAAAAGAGATATGAACTGAAAGCCTCTAAAGCACTGTGTAACTGTTTTGACTTTCTCGTGTCTCTTCAGCAGTACGAATTCATCTATCCCCAATCGAAACTCGCAGGCAGAACACAAACATGCCAACCACTTGACCAGAAGGAAGCTGATCAGACTATTTCACTGGGTCTGCACAGAAAACTTTCAATAGGGCCACAAAAGTTGTTTTTTTATTTAGCAGGTGTAATTACTGTGAAGGGATGAGAGTGACATTATGTATCTCCCGGAAATGCTAGATCATTGGTCCTTGACTGGGTGAATTTTCATGTCATATCAAAACAAATCACTGAGTACATTTTAAAGTGGTTGACGAAGTCGATGACATAATCCATGCCCGATAGTCCAGAAATTCATCTAAACTGCAATTTACTGCCCTCGGCACCTGTTCAGAGAGGGGTTCTAAGTGGACGGAAACATAGAAATGAAAGCAGTTTCATGAGCCTTCCTCTCCTTGAAGAAGATAGGATTTAGACGCTATCCGATAAGGATGTTCTAGCGTTTGTAACCGGGTCTAGTAACCAAGTGAAAACTGTATCAGGGAACCGTGCGGTAAGCTTCTCATAGCAGTCATTGCTAATGTCGGTAGGCAATGGACAGGGAAGCAATCGTGGCGATAGGGATAAATTAGCCACAGATTAAATGGCTTCGCGATGAAAACCGTCCAAAAGGTTCTCGCTTCAGACATAATCACAATACTCTAGAATGGGAAGCATATGCTCTTTGGAAATAGTGTGAAGTGTAGAAGAGGTGGAAAATGACTTCGGGCGGAAAAAGGAGAAGTGCTTTTTGGACACACGCGATCCGAATACAGCTATGGAGGTAAGAGGTAGTGTGACTATACCAGAGTGGTAAAACTGGATCCTAGCTCACTTGTAGATGCTTTCCGGAACTTTGAATTCTTTAACAGCGAAGAAATGAGAAGTCCTCTTTTATCTACCTCATTTTTTATATAAAAAGTTAATTTAATCATTTGAAGGTGATATATATATATATTCTGTTTCAAACGATGGGCTACTTAACTCACGATATAGAAGTTTCAGATAATCTTAGCGGTGGGGGAGCGAATTAGATGTGCAATTACCAGAACCAATGTATTTAGTGTTTGTATTCTACTCTATTTTGATTAATTTCTGTTAGGACCTATCTTTACTCTGGCATTGATTCCAGCTCTCCAATTCTTCTCATTTTTCCTTCATCCAAATTGATACCTGACTGACAATGACAAAATCCGCTCCAAGAAAGTGTAAAGTTAACGGCTTCATGAACTGAACTCAAAAAAACCAAATATACAGCGGAAATTTATAAATACTTCATTTCAAGCAGAAATAACAATATGTTGATTGTTCTGGTCATTTGAGTTCTCATGATGAACTTTATCTCAGGCCAAAGAAGAGGTGGATGCAATCAAAGAGACTCTGGCTGCTGAACGTCGTCGTCTGGACGAACGAACCAACAAACTTCGCATAGATGAAGTCAAACTGGAAGAAACACGACGCCAGTTGGATATTGTACGGTTAGTTCAGTGTCCGTTTGATGTTTGATGCTATTTACCACATCTCTTTTGTTTCCAGACGTTACAAAAACTCTAATTCTTTGAATGGATGACGACTGAAGTCCGTGAAATCACACAAACATTTTGGGATGAGCTCAAAAGTTCGCAAGAATTGGGAGCTAAGTATTTGATACCTCACAGTTTGTCTGAAGTTGAGAAGTCTTTAAGAACCTTATAAGTCCGAGTAATTTCCTGTCAAGTTCTCAAGGGAATTATGATGGTGTGCATGAGTTCTCATTTAGTTCAGTTCAGTTTTTACAACCACTAACTATACATTTTTGTGGGCCGGTTTTGGTTGTTGTCTTTTGGTGCCCCAATTGGATAAAAGAGCAGAATGAAGATGGGAATGTTGGAAGCAAATGCAAGTGAAAGGTGGAGAATTCAAATAGAATGGCGTTGGGAGAATAAGGAGTGGATACACGAGCGCCACTGTTTGCGACACCCAGCCATATCACTCAGTTTCTCTAACCATTGGTGACCATTATCTCGGGGTCCCCAGCCAGGGAGCCTAACGGGGCCTATGTGACCTAGCCTCCTGGTTAGTGTTTTCCTATCCTCATGCCAGGTCTTCATTTGGTCACCCTTGATCTTTTTCCAACCGCTACCTGCCTCGGCAAACATCGCTCGCCATGGCGACCTATTTGGTGAACTATGTTTGCCGAGGCAGGTAGCGGTTGGACAAAGGTCAAGGGTGGTTAAACGAAGACCTGACATGAGGGTATGAAAACCAGAAGACTAGGTCACAGTGAAGGAGTTACGGAAAGGAAGAAAGCTGAAGTAGCGTATAGTGGATAACTTTTTAGCAAATAAACCAATGATTGATGAGCTTGTCCCCGCAACAATTTAATCTTGTTAGTATTGGTCAGTTTGGCACTGAAGAAGATTTTTTGTTCAACATTATGGGCAACAGGTCAAATCGAATGGACCCAATACACTTCTGTTCATACGTGAAACAGGTTGAGAGGATGAGTGTGGGCGAGCTATCGATCAGTCAATTTGTTGGATCAGCTGTCCTGCCCTCGATCTGTCAGGCTGAGCGATAACTAACCTAGATTGGGTTCGAGGATCTCGGTCAACGATTGTGGGCGCTAGGTGCGAGTAAGATTCAGAGGTCAAGTTGGTGAATGACCTTTGATCAGGTGACATTTGGAATGGTCCGCACTGATCGGCACCGTTGCCGTTGTACCTATACGTAACAATAGGTGGAAAGGTTAGTGAACATGGTAACCTCTTATCGAGATTAGCTTGAGAAGTTTTTGTTTTGAAGTTTGTACTATAAATACCAGAGGAGTTTATGAAATGTTAAAAGGAATGAGGTGTACTGAATTTGTTTCATTCGGTACCTGAGAAACCGCGAAAATACATTCAAAACGTCGCTTTCACTGAGAATACCACTGATAAATCAGAACAGTATTATAAATGACAACTGGGTCATACTGGCGAATAGGGACACCGCATGTTCATCGCTTTATTCATCCTAATGGATAAAGTGATTTTTGACTTGACTTGATTTGAGGAACAAATTGAATGGAGGGGAATTACAAATACAGGAACCATGACGAATGGCAGCTTAACAGAAAAGAAAGAAGACTACATTGTCCCTCTCATTTCCTTATCCACATTGTTCCCATAATTATCGTAAGCTATGAGGAATAAACTTTAGAAACTGCGACAGTTTAAGAGTGCTATCTTTTAGGAGCTCAAATCCTATGATATGGGATCTGACAAAACAGACTATGTAAACTTCTTCAGGAACGGCTATTTTTTAACAAAATACAGTAGCGAACACTTTCAGTGATTCGTAATCATGTCAGCAAATCACCCTACAGTCAATATCCTGCTATGTCGCACCCTTCGGGATGTCGAAAAATTGGGTAAATTCCAGGAACTGTGACATAACAGTACATGCTATTAAGTAGTATGAGAAAATCGATTGAGAGTTTTAGGGAAAAATAAATCGGATCGATGAAAAGTTAGTTGATTCCGTTGCTTGTTCCCATGGTTGTAATATTGTACTGTTTATTTATAACGGAATTTAGATCTACCGCCCTGTGTATCCTCTATGTATCGAAGAAATTAAAATCTTTTATGACGCCCTCAGTCTAATATCGGTACATTGCATTCGGTATTCAACCCTTTTTCAGTTCTAAGCGTCAAATTACCCGAAACTACCTACCTTTCTTCAAGGGAACTTTTTCTGACCCAATTATTCCATATTAATTCCGTATATTCCTCCATTCCGTTGTAATGTTGAGCTAATCATAGAATTGATTATATGACGTCCACCATAAAATATAACTGTTTTAACTATAATAATTATGTCATTATTAACCCATTCAAGGAAAACAAAAGTGAACCAGTTCGAATACAGTGAGACAAAAATCGCATTCGAAGGAAATAACACCTAAAATGAGTGGCATATCTGTTACGAGGACAACTCAGAACATTGACTTCTTTCCCATATTCAAACTGATTCTTCGCTGTGCAATCTATTCATTATTTTCTAGTGAAAAATGTGTACCAATAGCATCTGTAGACATCTATTTGTTCGTTCGCTTTTGTTGCCACCACTATATCGTATGCATTGTCATGACCGTTGTTGGTAGGACTAAGTTCAACAAGTGATTCATGAATTATAGAAGTGCATCTCAAAAACTGAACTTAGATTCGGGTTACGATGACCTGTCTAATTTCATCGGTGCTCTAAGACAAGTGAGAGTATCGCTCATTCATTCAATCAGGCGCGTCAGCGCGATGTTGGTTATCGATCGCTCCGATCTGACATCCCACGCCACAGTTACCGGTCAGT